TGGAACATTCGAAAGATTTTTAAAAGGAAGATAAAGTTTACTCCTCAATTATTCTTATTGGGTATTTTTGTGGATTTAGATGATTAAGAAACTATTTTAATGTTGAATTTATTAACTGCTGCAAGGTTACTAGTAGGTTCATATTGGAAGAAAGATTTGTTGCCTACTTTAGAAGAATGGATATTTAAAGTTTCTAATTTTGCAGAAATAGCAAAAATTTCTGCTTATTTAAAGGATCATACACAAGAAAGATATATTATTGTATGGAGAAGATGGATAGATTATATTCAGAAGAAGTATGGGACTATAAAGTTTCATTTATTTTATGAGTAAATTTTATAGTAAATGTTGTATAAGAGATTTGTTTATGATGATGTAATTTAAGGGGAGTTAAGGGCTAAGTATGATTTTTTTTCTTTTTCTTTTCTTTCCTTTTCTTTTTTCTTTTTGTATTGTATAATTTTGTGATTAATAACCCTGTACTCTGCTCTGGGAAGTGAGGGGGGGGGTTTGAGGGTGGGTGGGTGGGTGAGTGGGTGGGTGGGTAAATAGGTAGAATAGGATAATGTAAATATGGTAATTTATGGAGAGGTGGCGCTTGGGCATTTCCCCTACTCTGTATTCCTGTATTTGAGAAGGATGAGAGGGGAGGAAGGTGAAGGGAGGAAATAGGATGGTAAGAGGAGAAGGGGAGGGGAAGAGAGTAGGAGGGGAGGAGAGAAAGAGGAGGGAAGTAGGGAAGGTATTAGAGAGGGTGGATGCAGCTTAGGGGGAATGGGCAAGCGGCACCTATGGTTATGGTTATGATTATGAATCTATCTTATTTTGATAAGTGAATTTTGTTGTATGTTGGATAAATGGAAAATAAAAAAAAATATTAAAAAAAAATAACAACAACAATGAAAGTGGAAGACATTAAAAAAAAGCCCAGCATTTCATTCCTTTGGAAAAGTGTCCTTATGGTCAGTCAGGTGGTTACATTGGATTTGGTATTTTTGTCAACCTACTGAGCCCTTCCCAAGGACCTGGGATAGGCAAATGTTGTTTAATGGTGTTAAAAGGTATCACCCAGTATTATTAAAGGCAGGATATAAAGCTGCATTTTGCAGGTGACTGATGGGAAGTTTGTCAATGTTGATGGTATTCAAGTGGTGCTTGAGATGTTTTGGGATTCCATCAAAACACCTATTACTATTGGTACTACCTTTGCTTTATTTTGGCACATTCCTATTTGTAGGTTTTTTATTTTGTGATCTTATCCAGCTCTCTCTCTTCTCTTCTGCTGTTTCCAAGTACTGCAACTACACTTCTTCGTCTTTCTTATAGATAACTGTTAAATCTGGAGTGTAGGTCCACTAAAGAGAGAAGATGGCAAGGAAATAACAGGCAACAGGAAGAAAGCAGAGGTGTTTAACTCATACTTTGCATCAGTCTTCACACAAAAAGAAACTATTGCCCAACATACCAAAAAAAAAAAAAAACCCCACTGCAAAAGACAAACTAGAAACAAAAATTAAAATAAGCAAGAAAATGGTAAGAGAACACCTATCCGACCTTGGCAAATATAAATCATCAGGACCCAACAGATTACATCCCAGGGTTCTGAAGGAGCTGGCAGATGTTATCTCAGGACCATTGCACCACATCTTTCATAAATCCTGGAGCACGGGGAAGTATCTGAGGATTGAAAAAGGGCTGATGTGGTTCCCATCTTCAAGAAAGGGAAAAAACGGACCCAGGAAACTACAGACCAATCAGTTTAACACCAATATCTGGGAAGATCCTAGAAAAGAGAATCAAAAAACAGATCTGCGAACAACTAGAAGCAAACAAAGTTATAACCAGCAGCTAATACGGGTTTGTTAAAAACCGATCATGCCAAACCAATCTTATTTCATTCTTTGATAAAGTGATTGAACTAGTAGATCAGCGAAATGCTGTGGACATAGTATACTTAGATTTCAGTAATGAATTTGATAAAGTAGACCAAAACCTACTCCTTGGTAAGCTAGACGAAGGTGGAATAGACAACATCGCCACTAGATGGATCTGTAGCTGGCTGGCAAACTGTACTCAACAACGACACTACATCCACATGGAGAGAAGTAAGCAATGGGGTACCACAAGGTTCCGTCCTAGGACCCTTCAATAACTTCATCAATGACTTAGATGAGGGAATTGAAGGGGAACTCATCAAATTTACAGATGACAGCAAACTAGCAGGAGTAACCAACACCCCAGAAAAAAAAAACAGGATCCAAAAAGATCTTGACTAACTTGAACAATGGGCCCTATCCAACAAAATGAGTTTCAATGTGGAGAAAAGCAAAGTTTTACATTTAGGCAGGAAAAATCAAAGGTACAAGTATAGATTGGGCAAGACCTGGCTTAAAAACAGTAACTGTGAGAGGGACCTTGGAGTCCTAGTGGACGATCACTTGATTATGAGCCAGCAGTGTGCAGCAACAGCCACAAAAGCTAATACAATCCTGGATTGTATAAACAGAGGCAGAGAATCAAGATCATGCAAAGTATTAGTACCGCTTTATAAAACCCTAGTAAGACCACATCTGGAATACTGCAGCCAATTTTAGTCATCATATCACAAAAAAGATATTGAGAGTTTGGAAAAATTTCAGAGAAGAGCAACTAAAATGATCAAAGGCCTGGAGACTAAAACATATGAAGAACAGCTTCAGGAGTTGGGTTTGGCTAGTCTAAAGAAAAGAAGAAATAGGGGTGACATGATAGCAGTATTCCAGTATTTGAGGGGCTGCCACAAGGAAGATGGGGTCAAGCTATTCTCCAGAGGGCAGGACAAGAAAAAACAATGGTTGGGCTTATCAAAGAGAGAAGCAACCTGGAATTAAGGAGAAACTTCCTGACAGTGAGGACAATCAATCAGTGGAACAGCTTGCCTCCAGAAATCGTGGGCGCTTCATCACTGGAGGTTTTTAAGAAGAGACTGGACAGTCACTTGTCTCAGATGGTAAATATCCTCCTGCTTGAGCAGGGGCTGGACTAGAAGACCTCCAAGGTCCCTTCCAGCTCTATTCTGTTCTACTTATGTGGCAGGTACCTGTCTGTTTGAATTCTAAAGTCCCAGAATACTTTAGCTTCTTCTTTTTCTGTTGCTTTCTCTATTTTATGGTACCGCCGATTCCTGCTTGCTGGCAAATGTCACACCATTGTCACACCATTGTCAGTCTGTGCAGTCAGAAGTCACCATTGTCAGTCTGTGCAGTCTTGCAGCAGCTAGCCAGGTGATCCACTGTTTCTTCAGCTTCTTTGCAGAGGCGGCACTTGCTTTCTGTTGCTTTCGTCTCAATTCTGGCTTTGTGCGCATTTGCTCTTAAGGATCGATTTTGTGCAGCCAGAATTAGCCCTTCAGCCTCTTTCTTCAACTTTCCTGCTTTCCTGCCAAGTGCTGTTACTATCTTCTTTCCCTTTTGTTGTGCTAATGCAAAGGAGCACCCACGATTTTTGAGGAGGAAAGCTGTTCCACTGGTTAATTGTCCTCACTGTCAGGAAATTTCTCCTTAGTTCTAGGTTGCTTCTCTCCTTGATTAGTTTCCGTCCATTGCTTCTTGTCCTCCTTCAGGTGCTTTGGAGGATAGCTTGACTCCCTCTTCTTTGTGGCAACCCCTGAAGGACATAATTTATTGCAATTATTTTTGGTCTTCCTATCCAAGACTTTTAATTCTGCTTAGATCCAGTTCATTATTCCAGCCATGTGGAATTGCTCAAGTGTTAATTGCCTTGATGGTATTTCCTCCACTGAGTTTGGACTTATAATGTTATAATGTGTTCCCATATTCCCACCAGAGGGTTAGGAATTTGCTGATTCCGTGCTCATAGTGAATTGATAGAATATCACTAGCAGAATAACCAGAAAGTACCCAGCAGGAAATTACCTTTCTCCCAGTGTTGTGAAAGCACACGAGAAAGAGTTTCTTGGCATATGCTGCACACAATCCAACCCGTGAGTGAAGTTAGACTATGAAGTAAATCTAACTGAGTTCAGCTCATGCTGTTTTTCTTCTTTCTCTGAAGGCGACGTAGAGGGAGGGAGCAGAAGCTGAATTGGAACCAGCCATGAAAACATCAGACAAGTCTCGGTCCCAGGCTTTTTTTTTTTTTTTTTTTTGAAGTGCAGCCCATTCCTAAGGACAGCAGTGCCTGAGCCTGCTGTTTCTGCACACACAAGTCACAGCCTATCAGAGCTGGACAACAGCTTTCTCTACCCAAATCCACCCAGCTAAACTGCTTATTCCTGCGCCAGCCTGAAGCCCCCCTCAACTCTTAGAGATAGGATAGGCCAGCATTCCTTAAACATTCTGTAAAGTCTCAGGCCAGAGGATTGCCTGAAGGGAAAACTTCAGGAATGTAAAACAGCTGAGAGCAAAAGTTTTGTGGAGCAGGTTGATTTTTCTGCAGTTTAGCAAGTGTGCCTGAGTTATGTCGCTAAGAGGCAGAGCAAGAGAGGGAAGCAGGAACAGAGCAGACATGCCTTAGAATCATCCCAACACATTTCTTGAAATATATAATTTAGCAACAAAGCAATGGTGAGATAGATAAAAATCACTGAAGCAAAACTATCAATTAGAAACAATTATTAAATGCATTGGTATTTCCAAAACTTTAAAGAATTGTTGCCAGACCTGAATGGAACTTAAGACTTTCCATTTCACATACATACAGCATTTCCTTTTTCATTCCAGCCTCGAACTCCTACAATTAATAGAAGTTTTGGAAGTAAAAGGAGATGTGTTTTTATCAGGACTGTGTGGAGGAAAAAGAATGCTATGCTGGCTGAGGAATTCTGGGGGTTGAAGTCCACAAGTCTTAAAGTTGCCAAGTTTGGAGACCCCTGATCTAAGGGGCAAAGAAAGGTCATCTGGCTACTTCAAGGATGGATGTGATCGTTTTCTGTAAAGTGACCGCAATGCCCACTGTGTGAGGAGCACTGACTCTCCCAGAGACCCAGCAGGGCTTCCTACCTTCACAGAGTTGTGCATAGTGAGGGGATCCAGCGGCTGCAGCCATGTAGGACCTTCCTTAGCCTCGGCGTCTGAAAGAAAGCCAAGGGAGGGTGAGGGGGCGATCCAGCAAAAGCTCTGAAACTCTTTACAATTCTTTGCATTTGCCAAGAAAACAATGGAAGGAGAGCAGTGCAAAAATATTGGCATTAACTGCAGGTCAGTGAGGTGAATATCCTCTGGACTACCGGCAGTCCTCAGTTTATGACCATTCGAAGTTGCCACAGACAGCCCCCCCCCAAAAGCTACTTACAAACTGGTTTCAGTTTGTGGTGGCCACTGAGAGCCCCTGAGGTTGTTCACCCTTACGTCTGACTGCAGGGCCCCCCTTTGCCATCCCCTCCACTGGGTGACCCCAGACTTGATTTCCACCCTAAGGTCCCACCCACCCACCACATTTATCTTTGGAAGAGCACTGAATTCCAGGAGCTGGGAACATGGCAACCATTCCCGCAATTGGTCTGCGTGGCTGCAGAACGAAGAGAAGCGGGAGGCCCCCCCCACCCAGCGCTTCAGAAGAAAGTCAGGAGGAGAGAGTGGGGATGTGTGTGTGTGTGTGTGTGTGTATGACAATCAGGTCTAAGGCTTGTGGGGGGGGCTGGGGGGGCAAAGCAAACCCAAGGGAGGGGCAGGAAGCGCACCACGAGGTGTCTCTGGTGGAGGTTAGGGCAGGCAGTCCTGGGTCTGTGCTGGGCTTCCGTCACCCCTGAGGCACTCAGTGCTCCATTTAATGACCCACACATTTAACAGCCACATCAGGGAGAGCAAGCTGTGGGGGCCATTTAACAGCCATCATAACATGACTGTAATGGGCAGGCTCTTTTTTTTTTTCAAATTTTATTAAATGTACATTTTAAAAACAAAAATGGACATGATTCAATTTCCCTGGCTTTAACAGTGCTATTAGTATTACCTCATGTTACAGAAAGAAAAACAGAAACTTAAAATACATTCTATAACAGGACACAGTATAACAAACTGTGCGTATAACATCTGTAAATTTTTTGATAAACCATCTTTCAATCGTCAATGTTGTATTTACATATCTTTCAGTTGTGTCCTAATATAGGTACTAATAAGAAGTCCTTACGATATCAACTAGTCAATCAATAATTATCTCAGCGATCCTCCTTATCTCTAACCAATCATACAAATTTTTCCAAATTTCACAATACTCTGTTTCAGTTTTATTTTTAATCTCTAGAGTTAACCTGTCCATTTCGGCACAGGATAAAATTTTATTTATTATTTCTTCCTCAGTGGGGGTTTCCTTTCCTTTCCATTTTTGGGCATATGCCAATCTTGCTGCGGTTAAAATATGCAATTGTAAGTAGAAAGATGCTTTGCTAAGTTTATCATTAATAATCGCTAATAAGAAGATTTCTGATTTTAAATCAATTTATTGTAATAGTATTTCTTCTAGCCAATTTTTTATCCGATTCCAAAAATTTTGCGCCTTTGAACATTCCCACCACATGTGGTAGTAAGTCCCTGGAAGCCTTCTACATTTCCAGCATGTTGGTGAGGTTTTTTTATCTATTTTTGCTAGTCTTGTAGGGGGAAGGTGCCATCTATAAGACATCTTGTATAAATTTTCTTTGTAGGAGGTGGCTAGTCTTAACCTCCTGTTTCTGTCCCATAATGATTGCCAATTATCTAGGTCAATACTGTAACCAAAATTTTTACTCCAGATTAACATTGTTTCTTTTATCTGTTCTTCTAACAAATCTTGTTCTAATAAATATTGATATATCTTTTTTATCATTTGATCTTCTGTTCCTAGAAGGATTTTATCTAATTGTGTATGCTCTAATTTTATCCCTGGTTCTTTTTTGTCTTTTCTGTATCGCGACTGTATTTGTAAGTATGCCCACCATTCCAACTCTATACCATCTTCTGATAATCTTCTCCTTGTTTTCAGGTCCAGTGGGCGGGCTCTGTTACAGTCGTAGGAGGGAACTACCTGTATAAAGCAGAGTGTCTGCAAAGGGGCTTCGGATCAAATTAACCCTTCACCCTATTTTCAGCAAGTGCAAGACTACATGTGTGATACCTTAAACTCAGGACTACTTAATATGAAAATAGTAGTTCGTCTTTTTCCTTAGAGTAAAACCCGCATAGTTTGAGTAGGAACCTTATTCCTATGCCCAGAATCCACAATGCCCTTTGCTATGCCTGCTAATTAATAAAAAGCCAATTCCTTTCAAATGCAATTTACCCATTACAATACAATTCAGTGCTTATCTTGGTAAAAATGATCTTCCCCGGATTCAACGGGATTCAATTTCAGTTAAGTGTGCACAAAGTATTGCAAGATTAGCAGAATCAGCTTTGGGATCTAGAGTAGACCACCCAGTTTCTCCCATTTCACTGCGCGGGAGGAATTTGGGTGACAGGGCAGCCAGTCAGCTTTTGTGGCATTTTATAAGCCTAAGCCCACTTCACAGCCAGGGGTCACTGTGCGTAACGGAATGCAAGGATTTAAAAGAAACCTGCTTAAGTTGTTCTGGGTTTCCAGAAAAAGAGGAGCTGCTCCAAAAGGCCACAAACAGGAACCCCTCTCCCCAGGACGGCACTTCCTCTTCCAAATCAGTTGAGTCACGGCAGTCCACACTGTGTCCAGAATACCAGCATTGTTGCAGTAGTAGCAGGACACCCACCTTTCTGCATACGAGTCCTAATCAGCCTTCTCAAGGCAAGACACGTCTATGATTCCCTCAAAAAGATTGTGCAAACAATAATCTGGATTGAAAGACCAGGCCGGACGGATTAACTCAGGAGAGGCAATCAGTTCTGGCCACAGAGTCTGCCTTCAAGCAAAGCCAGGAGGTGGGATGGGGTCAGCCTTGGCAGGAGCCTTTCTCAGCTCAGGGACAGGGGGGCTGCAAGTGCCTCCTCTGTGTGGCCACCTCCTAGGGGAAGTCCTCCCATTGGGCGCAAGAGCTGCCTGCCCTTTGTAACTCTGGGATGAATCACTAGAACAAGACCCGAAGGCAACACGGCCCTGTAGAACGCAACTCAAACCAAAGCAAACTAATTCACACCCTTGCCAGAGTTCAGTAAGAGGGAGCAAAAGAAGACCTTCCAACTCTGCCTATTTGAAGCGATTCTGGAAGACCAAGAGTGCCTTTGCTCTCTTGTGAATTCAGGTCAACTGGACCGATTGCAGAGTCCGCAGAGGCTGACGGTTCACAATCTGAACTCAGAAGAATAGCATCTCTGGGCAACTGCACGTGATAGCTGCATGGCAGCCCAGTTCTGTTTCTGAAGGGCCTATTTCACAGCTATTTTATTTTTTTTGCAGTTTGCTCAGAGACAGAAATATTAATTTAATGCTAAGTCCTCATTGATTTTTCCGAAGGAATACCTGAGCGTACTCTCTGGTTCTGGGATACAGAGTTTACCCGTACGACGGAGTCTGACCTCAGCCCTCTTCCCAGCTCCAGATGCAAAAGAGTCTCCTGGCTGAAAACAGACCAGACGGCCGATCACTGTGTGGTCTTGGGGTAAATAGAAACCATTGGGGAAAAAAAAACACATTCCAAAAAAACGGGTCAAGAGAACCCCACTGCTCTGAGATCCTCCAGCTCTCAGCAAGTAAAAGACCCATTTCCCAGAGTAAAGATATAAGCACCCAAATCCTGAAAGGTAGCATATGCTCCCTTGCAGAGCAGGGGGGAGACTCGGCCTCACCCCTCTGGAGGCAGAAAGCTGCTGCTGACAAAAGCGCCTCGAGGTGGATCAGAAGCCCAGCAGGTCTTGGCTCCCCCGTCCAGGCCTCTCAGAAGCACAAGCCAGATTGAAAACCACCATTCCCAGCTTGCTTGCTGCTCCCAGGCACCCACCGGGGGAAGCGGGCAAATCAAAGCCTTTCTGCGGACCCGGCCAGGCCGGCTCTCTGCAGAGCAGCAGAGGAGCTGGGCGGGTTAGCCGGGCCGGCCTGGGATCCTGCTGAACTCTCCTTCACTTCAGCCCCAGGAATGTGAACTCCAGCGGGGCATTTCCTTCCTCTCTTCCTCTCTTCCAAGGGCCCTGGGTGGGAGCGGGTGGGAGGGTGTGGGTGTGTGTGTGGGGAGGAAGAGTGCCGGAAAAGAGGAGGGAGCCGGCCTTTGCCCGAGACCATCGGAACAACATTTGTTTTTGTAACTAGTTCTTCAGCCTGCAGAAACCAAAAACAAAGACATTTGGGGCAGGGCAAATGGGGGGAAATATGCTCTTTTGGACACCAGCATCAAAAGCTGTCCAAGCCACTCCCTCGGGCCAAGGGATCCGAGCCCTGCCCACGCTGCACAGTCCATTGTGCGGGACGGACGCTACCCCTTTTCACTGTAAACAGTTTGTCTGTATGCACATACAAATATACACACATCCCTGAACAAATACAGGAAGTTCTTGACTTATGACCACTCATTTAACAACCGTTCAGTTACGACAGCCTCGGAAAGGGTATTTTACAGCATGGAGAGCACAACTGTCATAAAATGTGGTGTTCCATACTCTGCAGTCACATGATGTTTTGGGTGCTTTTCGCAACCAGCTCACACCAATGACTGCTTGCCATGTTGTTTTAATTATTTTTTACATTTGTTGCAAGTCTTAGTTCATTCTTAGCATGTACAAATATATACAGTAAACATACAAGTACATTTCAAAACTGTTTCGTGTTTCTATGTGTACTAGATTTACAAATGATTTTATTATTTCTCTGCTAATCCAATAATGAGGAATTGTGGGACCAGAACTCCATCTCTCCTGGTGATTGGCCCTAAGTCCCCCAGTCAGCTTTCATGTCTAAGGAGGGGCCAGAGTTTAACAGGGTTTCCTAGTGATTGGCCCAAAGCCGTTCAGTCCATTTTCAAGCCTAGAGCAGGACTAGAATTTACTGTCGCCTGGTCTTTGGCCTGGGAACTTAACTACCGGAGCAAACTATCTCTCCTTAAGAAGCAAACTATGTATTAACTAAAATCCATTGACTGTATGCTCCGTTTTAGACATCAGGCTTTACGCTGGCTTTGAAAAGGGTGGTGACTGC